GGCAAGTGATCCGGTCAGTTCGCCACTGATTTTCGAGGACTCGACGGCGTGGTCAAGACTTGAGGAGCTTGACCCGCTCACGAGAGAGGACTTCGCTTGGATGCCTCTACCCTCGACCGGAACCTTGCCAAGGCCGCATTGCAACGCCTTGATGGCAACTCTACGCTCCTATTTGCACACTACAGTACCAGCTCCGTTGACGGACGACGGGGTAGCGGTTGTCGATCTCCGCTCCTATCTTGCGAAGATTGATCGCGAGTACGCCACCCAAAGGTACGCCGAAACCGACGCTCCTTTGCTCTATATCCGCATTCAAATCGGAAAGGCAACCTGTAGTGCCTTGATTGATTGCGGAGCGTCTCGCAACTTTATGAGCCAAGCCTTTATGGCCCGCACAGGTCTTGGCCCGCGCGTTCGAAGGAAGACGCAACCCACGCAAGTTATACTCGTGGACGGCCGCATGCAAAAGTCCATTGACCGATGCGTCGACGGCGTTCCGGTATACTTTGCGCCACTTGCGTGCGAGCCGGTGTCTTTTGACATCCTCGACACCAAGTTCGACATGATTCTAGGCATGTCTTGGTTGCGTAGCGCCGATCATCCGGTGAACTTTCATGACCGAACCGTTCACATCCGTGATCGGAACGGAGTGTTAGTCCCATGTACGGTCGCGATCCCTCACACTTCGATTGCTTGTCACGTGGTTTCCGTTGCGAGCGACGCCATAGCTCGGAATGACGTCGAGGAGATGGGCCTCGTATTCTTGCATGCCCTCCCCTCGCCGGACGGACCAGCCGCGTCACCGCCGGACCCACGCATTTCTCACCTCTTGGACGAGTATAGAGACGTCTTCGAGGCTCCCACCGGAACGGTTCCGGATCGGCCCATACGTCACGGGATCACCCTCGAGGCTGGCGTCGTCCCTCCGCATGGATGTATCTACCGCATGAGCGAAGAGGAACTCGAGGTGCTTCGCGCACAACTCGATGACCTTCTCGACAAGGGTTGGATTCGCCCTAGTTGTTCGCCTTACGGTGCCCCTGTTCTCTTCGTCCGGAAGAAGAACAAAGATCTACGGTTATGCATCGATTATCGTAAACTTAACGCACAAACCGTAAAGAACGCCGGCCCTCTCCCTCGGATTGATGATCTTCTTGAGCGGTTAGGCGGCGCGACGTACTTCTCGAAGTT